TGGCATATTTGAGGTTGAACCTTGGCAGTGCCCTGGCTTCTAGTATAGAAAATCGATATTCATTGATAGCACCTCCGTGGACCCTACTCGAGTCAGGGAGTTAATTGAAGACCATGTCGCAATCTACAACGGTGAGACATATCACTTGGTTTTTAAGAACTGCAACTACTTCTGCAAAGATGTTTGTTACAAGATGATGGGGAAACCGTTCCCAAAATGGGTCAATCGGCTTGCGAGAATAGGTATCCATTTGTTTCTCACTTTTCTACACTGAGTTTTTTTTGAAATATAATACCAACCAAAGGCATGCTTCCTATTGAGTTCATGCTGGATTTTTTTCATTTGCTTTTGCTGCTTATGTCTTCGGACACTCTACAAGTCTACAAAAAAAGGGATAAAATACACATGGCCTTTATTTCCTTTTTTATCTTTCTCATGAAGTCTAACTATTTTAGAAATTGGTCATCACGGTTTAGCTTTTCTGCTGCTTTTAACATCATCTTTTGAGTTACTTAAGTTGCAGCTTTTTTGTCGAATATAATAATGACTCCCATTTGCAGTGCTGCTGCTTTATTTCAATTTCTCTCCTATAACTCTGGAGGATTAAGAAGTTATTACCTTTTCAGGTTACTTTTGTGAGATTTGGTGGGACCACTACCAACTGTTCTAAAAGCTTAAGCTGTTAGATGAAGGCGTGGTTTCTAACACTCCCCCTCACGCTTAGTCTGGCTTTTTTGCCAAGTACTAAGCGTGGACATATTTAATTAGGGAGGCAAATGTGGTTGGGAAAGATTTGAACTCAGGACCTCCAGGTCTGATACCATGTGAGATTTGGTGGGACCACTGCCAACTGTTCTAGAAACTTAAGCTATTAGATGAATTCGTGGTTTAATATTTAATTATCCTAACAACTTTCATGGCAGTACTTAAAATTGCAACATTTACTGGTATCATCTGGACTTCTTTCACCCTTTTTATTTGTTTATCTTGCGTCATGTAAACAAGTGCATTAGGAAAAAAAAATAAAGCATACCTGCAAATTTTCCTTATTTTATTATATAAAAGGCTCTTTTCACAAAATCTCATAACAATCTGGTTTTCTTAGTGGAGCGATGTAGCAGAATGTTTTCTGGTATTCAGTGCAAAATAGGTCGAATCCTTTCACACGCGTGTGTAAATTAAATGGAATTTTTCTTTAATTCAGAGATGAATACATGGTTTAATAATGGTGCTCTGGATGACATGGTTTTCTTTCTTCCACAAGAAAGACCAGAAGAAGGAAAAAAATGGTTAGTTCTTGTATATCATAATGATAGCTCCCTGTATATAGAGAAAAGAGAATAGTACTTTTATCCCACAATATTCATCAATTTTTGCTGTTGGTTGCTTTCTTAAGTTTTTGAGGATTTCCTCTGTATCTGGTCCATCATAGGTTTTTCCTGCAACTGCTTACTTCTTGAAATCCTTAAGATCAGTGCTGTATGTCGTGACCCTAACTGCCAACGACGCGAAAGTGAGAAGCGGAGGTTAACAAACAACTTAAGTTGCCTGTCTTCGATATTGATGAGGCAGAAGCAGTTATCCACATCCTCGCTCTCCCTTGAGAGGCTGTCTACCGCCTTGGGAACTCAAAAGGTCTAATCATGGCTCCTTGAAGGAAAGGTGAGAAAATGTGAGGAGTGAAACTGAATCGCAAGTAATCACGGAGATCCGGAATGTGCAGTGTCAGATTTTGTGTATAAGCTCAAGCACTATGGCTTCTAACATTTGCGTATGTTGCGGTTCTGGTTTAAACAGAAACTTGTTGCCAATTTGTAGGACACTCGTATGAAATCCCTAGTTCTCTTCAGAAGGCAATCATGTGAACTTAGAGAGAGTGATCTGTATACAATTAGGGATTTAATGAATGAGAGGTGTGCTTGTTCCCCGGGTTTTCTGTGCCAAGCTCTTGAAAAGCGTGTGTTAATGTGCTCTGTGCCAATGAAATGAGAAAGGATTCTGCATGTCCATCTTGTAATGTGCTTACTCTCTCTTTGCCTTCGTGGTTGTTCAATTGTCTCGGCTCTTAAATGAAGAAATTCTGTGCTTATCCCCCATTGGAAGTAATTTCTTTTTAAGCGATCTTTGACAAGGGAAAGGCTTGGATCTTTCTTTGGTTTCCTACCCTAGGAGTCTGCTTTGGTCGTTTTCAAGATGGACAACTTGCATAATCTGAGAACTGGCTTCAATCTTCCCACTAATGCCTTAATTTGTTTTAGACATATTTATGCATGAAATACAGTGGACGATACTCTTTATGCCTAGTTGTTGCAACATGAATCATTCTTTTCGCCCATATTCTTTCATGAAGTACAGCATAACATTGTACTTATCTTAAGTTGCAAAGATGATGGATGAATTAATTTTGGGCGCCACCAGTAGAACTTACTTCATTTCCATGGAACTTCAGTATATGCTCATCGAACTCTGCATTCTTGTCTTGCAATTGCAACACAAATTAGACTTCAAACTTTTTAACAACTAAGATAGATCCTGGCTAAGATGGAGTCCCTGGGACTCTTTCTTGGCTGGTAAACTCGGGGGGCTACGGCAGCTGCAAGATTCAAGAATCAAGACCCGGTAAAGTAAGAAGAAATATGCCATGTCACGCTGCATTCGCCACTTCTCAATTGTTCACAGCAGTGAAATTGCCGATTCTCACGAGAACTCTTCTAAGCAGCCATTTGATGCTTCTCTTAAAAATTTAGTTCGTGGGGGTGGGTGGGGGGGTGTGGTTACGGCGGACCCTGAAAGGAGTTTCACATGAGAGAGCAATTAGTATTTCATTTTAAGGAGTAGAAAAGACTCATCCCACCATGCGGTCCAGCCCCCAACTTGAAGATGGAAATGTCCCAAATCAAAGTTTCAGTGAGATCTAACTGACAGATATATCATCTGAGAGGTCAAGATTTGCAGGCATAAGCACCCACTGATAAAGATTAATGTCAATATGGAATTGTGACTACCACTCCCAAGCTTAACCTACAGGCAGACTTAACGGCTATTCCCTTTTCCCGTGGCTATACAAGAGAACATTCAAAGTACAGTTAATCAAACTGCAAAAATAAAAACAAACCCCGTAGCCAAATTCAAAAATGCTGCACTAGCTACACCGGCAAAAACCTATGGTTTGAAAAATACATTTTTGATCTAGTTCAGTGTATGCATTCTGGTTCAGCACAGGATTTTCACAATGATTTCTAGATTGTCGAATTATTAATGGAATCGAGTAATAACATATAGACAGCATGCATATCCAGACTAGCATTGGCAAATCAAACCTGCAGGACAAAGAAAGAGAAGCTTCAGCATTACAAATGCATATTGCTGCCTACAAGGTTTTATTTAGAGGCCTTGCATAATTCAAAATTAGGCCAACACAACCCATGAAAAAGATGCATTGGCATCACTATCTCCAATTGCATTTCAGACGTTATTTCAACTTTTCATTGGCAAAATTTGCAGTAAGTTACAAGATCAGGTTTGCGATTTCCATTTCCTTGAATCAAATATAATGATAATCAATGGGAACAAGAAATCAATGGGAGCATAGCCGTGAAACAATCAGTCTTCTTTCTGATGCGAAACACCAAGCAGGCTACTATTCCCATTAAGAGCCGCATGATGTACATGCTTCTCAGCAAGGCCAATATCTGATAGAATCAAATTACCCTGAGGGAAAAACAAACCAATATTTCTGAATCAGATAAGAGTTTTGTTGCGAAACATGACTTAAACCAAAGCAAACCAAAGCATTTGTACACAGCTTAGTCGCAGCTATATGACATCAGCAAAATGTAGGTGTTTCGGCCTAGTTCTTCATAGCTTTTTCCTTTTTGGCCATGAGGTTCTCTAACCTTTGAAAATGTGCGGCACAAGGTAAAACAAGGGGCATGGAGCTTCCATAATATGAGTATACCATCTCTTACAGAAATACACGAGGGACTGAAAAAATGCGGGTGTTCTGATCACTGAGCGCAAGGCCTTGTGTTTTGTTTTATAAATAATAAGGTTGGGATGAGATAACTGCTATAGTACTTCCTTAGATATAATCTGTGGAATCTTCTTATGAAAGCTGGAATTGCTAGTCTCTCTCTACATTGTCTACTTCTCATGTGAGCTTTCCTTTTTTTGCCGAACCTTCTAATGTGAGCTTTCAAGTCTTGTTAATTGGTACTTTTTACAGCGCACCCCATTGTCTATTATGCATAATGATTGGGTCAGTGGAAGAGGATCTTGAACCACATTTGCCTATCTGAAAGGATATAACAGGATAGGCCTATTATCATAACAAAGAAAAGCAAGAGAGTAGAGTAAGGATGCTTACTCACACTGCTCCTTTTGCTCAATGTTTTACCAAACTGCATTTTGCCTAAAAATTTATAGTTCATACTCCTGACATGTTTGAATAATTTTGACACTACTTATGGGTTTACTCAGCTCAAGTCAAGCAACTCTTCCATATTCATGGGATAGATTCTGAGTAAGGGGGAGGACATGTGTGGTGCAGGGGAAAAGGAATCATTGCTTAGTTCACTTGGTAGGGAAGTCAGTTCATCGATTCAACATACTGAATCTTGTTGAGGCTATAGTGCAAGGGAAGTGGAGTGGGGTTTTGGGGTTTCGACTTGCCATTTTGGGATCAAAACGCACCAGCAAATGGGCAATACCATTGTTCACTTTAGAAATTCGCATGTTTATTTTATCAGCAAACAAATTTTAGGAAGTAGCTGCAGCTTCATTGGGGATGAGATAATCTACTGCTTTTTTTTCGATGCAGAATTTGTGCTTTCGTTGTCGGTGATACAATGGGTGAAAGGTGGAAGCCCTCGGAGTGTTTTCTCTCTCGTGTACTGCTTTGTATGTTGCCTCTGCCTCATGTTAAAGTTCACGTCCTCTCTCAAAGGTTACTCGAACTGTAATGCATTGACGTTGTAGATAAAGCAATGATCTTGAGTAGGCTAATTTGTACTGAAGATAAAATTTAACTGGAGTGAGATTAACAATTTGAAGTTGCAAAGGCATTTTTGCTTGATGCTTTGCCCGGTGGCTCTGCTGAAAATAGCAGCAGCGATAGATTGCCTTTGGATGATCTTGGCTCTAGCTATGATTCTACTGATAGTTTTTTCGACCTCAATTCTACTAAATAGGTCACTCTAGCATCTCTTTGTATATACATTGGGGGATTGCTTCTGGAGGGTTAAGCGATGTGATGCAAACTATTCCGGAAAAGGAATGTCTGCTAGGTCCTCTCGATAAGGAAGTCGGTCACCTGAGTTGCCAGAATTGCCATAGCCATGTTCGACGGCCGTTGATGTCGTATGCTTAACGGGGTCATCAGTAAATGTCACGATAGTGTCTTTTCGGAAAGTTAAGTAGATCACTGCAATGATGTAGATGGCCATGAGCGGGAACACTAGGATTCCGATAAAAACGTTGGCCACTTTCGGAAGGCTGTTGTGGATTAGCCAGCCAACAAAGCCCGTGCTGAGGTAATATATGTTGATAACGATGAGTCCCACTCCTAGTATCCACGAGATCACAATAATCTGTATCGACAGATGCAAAAAGACACGATTGTCATTTAGCTTCACATGTTCTTCTGCATTACTTCCAGTTCTTGCATGTTTTTCCAATTAATATCTCTTTAGGACTTCTGAAATAAAGAACCAAGTTTAAAGTTCGACCGTGTAAAGATCAAAAGCAAACTTACATAGATTGAGTTTTTGTGAGTTCCCATCTTTGTTGCACTGCTACTGAACTTGAGGAGTGGGATAAGAGCAAATGGAAGCTCAAACGATAGGATCATCTGAAAAACAACATCAATTTCATCATATAACAACAAACGGAATGAGCATAAAATGCCCACATATCTTCACCAGATGATTTTAGAAAGAGTTCAAGTTTAGGAGTGGCAGGAGATGTTGTAGGAATTTGCATACCGACGCGATGATAATGAGCCTACCGGCTCCTGAAGATCCGCCGATGATAGAGACGATGAGACTCGGCGTAATGGCAATGCATCGAGTCACTAGGTTCCGTTTCCACTTCTTCATTTTGAGTTCCAAGAATCCCTAAGCAATTAACCAACACACACAGGAGAACAATCAGATCTGTTTGAGTGTTCATTTTAAACAGCTAATTACGTGAAATTTCTGAATTAACAACCTGCATGATGTATTGGCCTGCATAGGTTCCTGTGATTGTGGAGCTTTGCCCTGAAGCTAGCAAAGCAATGGCATAAATCGTCGAGCCAGATCTTCCCAACACATTCTGTAAACAATATATATAGGACAACAATAAGAATGTCATTCTTAGTTGTGATGTTATCTTGTGGTCCAACTGTTTTATAGTCAATGTAAGGAATTGGAACCTTAAGGAGGAATGAAGCAGAATTTAGAGTTAAGTTGCTGCATCGATCTGCATTCTCGCTCGAAAGATTGTCGCCTGAGCAGATGGTGCCAGACACAGACACAACGGCTACGTTGATCAAGAATGCCACGAATAATGCGAACCCACTTTCTATGAGGAAAAAACGGCAGGCGTCCTGCAAAGATTGATGAGATAAAATGAAAAGTGCACATTTTTATTTGGATAATTGACAAAACAAAAGTGCATATTTTATAACATAAACAGGATTTGTTTTTCTATATATTGCATGTTTTGCCAAATATAATTAGCGAAAACACGAGTGACGATAATCGAACCCACATTATGCCATCTAAAGAATGGCCTAGTTTTTCGAATGAGGAATAAGATCTTCACCAAAAAACTTTTGATAATAAAAGAAAATTGAAGACAAAGTTAGGAATTTAGTACTTTGATCCCTCGGACTGATCTCGGAACTTTCCTGGACAAGACCAAAGCAGAATGGAGGAACAGGTTGTGCCTATTGACAAGCAATAGAACTCTTAAATCTAAAAATGGCACAAGCAATTTCATATGTATCTAATGATATATACAAGTATGAGATTTAGTACAAAGTGATATCATACGGCATGACGAGTGCACCAAGCAAGGCGATGGCGTCGCCGGTGGCACTGTTCCCAGAGAGCTTGGGGATGAACATCCCCTTCAGGATCTTCAAAGTGGGAGGCTTCGCATAGCTTAGTTCGCCAAAGAAACACCCCGCCATCAGGAATACCATTGTAGCTATCAACATTTCCAGTTTCCGAATCTAACAAATGAAAATCGAGAACGATGTTTTTAGTGAATCAAAACCATCACCGTACTGAAAACAGTGAACAATGTTGAATTAAACAATGGCGGGGCAAATTCGGTTGTCGTCAAGCTACTGTAACTATAATATAATTGGCATAGGTAATTCCAAAGGAAATTAATATACTCATTCTTAATTAACTAATGCAATTTCAAGTAACTATACCCCATATCTCTGCAGGCCTAGAAGCACAAGCGTGCTGCAACCAGTGAACAAAACTCCAGCCCACACAGGGATGTGGAACAGTATGTTAAGTGCGAAGGCTGTCCCAATCACTGCAAACATTTCCTTTGCTTGTTAGCAAACTTAATTAATATAAACTCACCAGACAAATGTGATGGTAAGTAACTGCATATGACTAACATATGACACATTTGATGAACAGAGAGGTTTAGAACTATGTGAATGCCATGCAATTTTCGATTTGGTATTTCAGGATGTATTTGAGACGTGGATGATACAGAACTCTATTATATTAGCTTGCTAATGCATCATCTTTGAGTGAGTTGAAGGTTTCAATTTATCCTTAGACCGAAAGGTAGGTAATCCATGTCATTGAGTATTGTCCTGATCAAAACGGTTGGTCTTCAGTATTAATAGTGTTCTCGGAATAGAACCATTCCACATTTCAGGAATTGGGATTCTATATTTAAGGATGTTTTGACGATAAGCTCAGATGTTCTGCTATCCTTTGAATTTGTTTACTTTTCCTTTTCTTGTACTTTTCCATCTTCCTTGTTACAATCCCTATTGAGCTCATTGTGTGCCATCACTGCAGCCCACTAGGATTGTCAGCCATCAGTCGTCTCCAAACAGGCCTCCGGCCACCACCACCATTTCCAACTCCATTTCGTCATTGGATGTCTGTCGTAAGCACAATATGTGGTCGCAGCCTCATACTGGAGGTCCCAAACTTAAGACGACCTCCAATCTACTAACGCTTGGCGTTGTGACTACAATCCGCCTTTACATTGAGAGAGAACGAGAGATGACCAATGTGAGGAAGGCGGTGATAGGGACCAAGTGACCGGTTGATGTGGTGCAAGTGAGCGACGCTTAGTGCCTAGGTGCCGCAAAGAGGCGAGGGACCGTAAAAGCAAAGAGAGAGTAGACAAATGTTTGGAGAAAAGTTTTTGTGTGTGATCTTCATCAAGTGGAGTACGTTGGTAAATTTGGGGGGTGGATAACCGGAGAGGATCTTACTCATCTATGTATTTTTGGGGTCTTAAATCCATATACAAGGCATGCAAATGGACACGCGGGTAGTTGTGAAATGACTAAACGATCAACAATTGAGATTTGTCAAAACACCAAATGAGACATCTTGTAGGTAGAGGATCGTCGTACCTTACCCGTATTTTGTTATGTGCCGTGTCTTGTTAACTTCTGTGGTTTTGGAGAGGGATTGTACTTAAAAGAATTGTGTAATGTGACACCTATTGTTTTCTTTTTTTTATTGAACCACACACAAGACGAACATTTAACAGAACTGCATGACACCAAGTGCTTTATTTTTCTACTTATTTAAGTCAAACCATTTGCTTTAATAGTTTCAACTATAATTTCATATCTTAGCCCTATCCTTAGGATTAGTAGAAAGAGAAGAGAATAAAGAGTGTGAACTCTGAAAAAGTTGATTGAGATCCATGACAACTCACGAATGGTTGAAAAAGGAAATAAAATATGGAAGACAAGTTCTATGACCCGATGTTATATTGGGCGCGATCACATGTCCTATATCAATAAGATGAGAGAGAGAGAGAGAGAGAGAGAGAGAGAGAGAGAGAGAGAGAGAGAGAGAGAGAGAGAGAGAGAGAGAGAGAGAGAGAGAGAGAGAGAGAGAGAGAGAGAGAGAGATGCCTTCTGGTATATCAGCAGCTATGACGGCCACTTCAGCAAGAAGCCATAAACAATACTTCACCAACAGTGGGTACTCAATCTTGCATAGCTCAGCCAGATGTCTCCCTAAAATTCCAATTTTTTTTAAAAGACAAGTGAATGATCTCATACAAGAAAATGAAAAAAACAAGAAGAAGAGAGAGTGTTCATGAGTTGGAAAAATAGAATCATAATTCCCTCCTTAATTTTTCTAATTAAATAATTACCGGTGCTCACTCCGAGATTAGCAGCCAAAGATTGGATCATGAGAGCAAAAATCAACCCGATGAGTACAACCCACAAAAGCTGACCATATGATTCGATAAATTGTTAATATTTAGCACAAAAAATATAATTTGTACAAGTAAGATATATGTATTTTGTGAATAGTTGTTCTTTTGTGTTACCTCGTATTCATGATTCGCTCCAGCTTGCAAATCTGTTTCCACTGCGACATTGATTGTAGAACTATGAATTCAACATGAACTCATTCAAACGCCACATGCAGGCATGCTCGCGAACACACACATGCTCTCAGAGAGAGAGAGAGAGAGAGAGAGAGAGAGAGAGAGAGAGAGAGAGAGAGAGAGAGAGAGAGAGAGAGAGAGAGAGAGAGAGAGAGAGAGAGAGAGAGAGATTTTACAGTTTCCGGGGTCAAGATATGCGAGGGAAACAAGGAAACCGGGGCCAACAAATGATAAGAACCCTCTCCATCTAGGTTTCTGAATAATTACAAGGATGAATGCGATTAGACCATAAACGTAAATCGCAATTAGATCAATTGACATTCTCAATTAGATTTGGAGAATGTTCAAATTAGGAAACATCCACCTAGAAACAAGCTAGTCCCGTGAGATTGTGATTGATTTGATCCATTAAAGATTGGAGATTGAGGAACTTATTGAAGGCATATTCCACGAATGTATGAAAGAAGAAGAAGAAGAGAGAACCTGATCATGCGAGCCCTCTTGATCAGATTCACCATGCGTGGAATTGGGGAGATCAAAGGGTGGGGTCCTGCCCCCCACATCAATGGCCACTTTCCTGTTGCTCCCTCCCAATATTGTTGGGGCTCCTACACTTGCCAACTCATGCTCCTCCTGCATACTCTCTCTCTCTCTCTCTCTCTCTCTCTCTCTCTCTCAACTTGCTTTTCGTGAAGCAACTGATGAGCTTGATTGATACCTGCTTCGCTTCGTGTTACACTCCAAACACAGCTTAATGACTTATAGCATGCTTTATAAACCCAAGTCACCATAGTTGGTCACTTAATAAATGAATGAAAGAAAAAAAGAAAGTCAGACAACTGTAGGGAAGGATTCAACTAAGAGCACGCAGACAAGAATCCTGCTTAAAAATGTCCTTGTGCTTTGTATTTTTATATCTGCACCAAAATTCTGTGGATTTCGCCGAACGTTGGGCCTCTTTGTTTTTGTTCGAGTAACGTCAGATATATTAAGACGGGTCTCTAAATTTGACAATCTAATTCTCGTGACAGTTGTAACAAATAAGTGAGGAGACATATTTAACACCCAATTAATGATAGTCCCAATTAATTATCATCTCTCATTTCATTAAGTATACCAAGCTTTGTAGATCAATCTTGATAAGTACCCGATTTTTTTACTTTTCTAGAGGATGACTTAATCCATACCTAACCACGGGGCCAAATTTTCCAGATTTGACCGAGAAAGATTGAGCCCCATTCAGGGCTTGCCGCCTCATTGGTTGCGATTATACTTCCCCCTTTCTTGAGTCGAAAAGCTACAATCTTGACTTAATTTATTTGTTTGCTGGTGTTTGTCTCTTGATCTATCCTACTTTCCTAAATAAAATATAGACCATGACGCGTGTGCTTTGATCAGAATTCAGCTGGCTCTGAATTTTCTCTGAGTAAAACGATGCATTATGAGTCCAAACACTTGAAGCCAAAATTAAGGTTTCCTTTTTTCGCAATTAAACAATCTAAATTGGCTATAATAGCGGAGGCTTTGAACATGATAAGCTGTAAACTAGCTCTAGTTCAAACGTGTTTCGCCGGGAATTGATTCACGCAATGAAATACTTTTCATCGAACTGCTCCTCAGCGGTTAATGTTCCAATTAAAGATTGTAGCCACATTGCCATTAATTTGGCTCAATGATCACATTCCATGATTGCATGTCGATCTTATCTACAAGTGGTTATAACTCTTAGTTATGACTTCTCAATTGTCATCAGATCTAACCGCTAATTAACATCTTCATTATCTTTCGTTTGTGCATTATCTAGTGTCAATCGTCCGGTCGTCATCACTTGTCGATTGATTATCTTGATCATCGACAAATATCTTTGCTATCGATGACCTGTTGATGATATAATCACTTAGCATCGATTTTCTGTATCGACGTCATGTCGATTTAGAAGACTTGGTCATTTTTGGGTGTCAACCGAAAGATTTGCTCACTTTATCTGCATTTGGGATTAAACCATCAGACTCCAGTTGAAAACTTGGAGTTATTATTTCTTGTCGCTTGATCGTAAGATTATTTGTTCGTCTTATCTCTATGTTTTTTCCCCTAACCTAATTGCAACTTGCGGAATTCTAATTGCTAGTTTATGGGCCAAACAATTCGA